AAACTGTTGTCCATAGTGGTTGTATGAATTTACATTCCCACCAACAGTGTACAAGTGTTCCCTTTTCTCCACATCCTTGCCAGCATTTGTTATTGCTTGTCTTTCAGATAAAAGCCATTTTAGCTCGGTGAGATAGTATCTTCTTATAGTTTTGATTTGCATTTCTCTGATGATCAATGACGTTGAGCATCTTTTCATATGTCTGTTTGCCATTTGTATGTCTTCTTTTGAGGAATGTCTATTCAAATATTTTGCTCATTTTAAAATCAGAGTCTTAGATTTTGTTACTATTATCTTTTTTTTTAATTATAAACCATGTGCTTATGGGTGAGAGTTAGGAAATTAGAATGCAAAAAAAAGAAAATTAAAATAAGTCACAATCCTATTTTGTTCCAGACTCTAATTACGTAAACACTTTATATTGTATGTATGTGTTTTGAGACTCTGCTACTCTCAATTTTTGTTTAAAATGTGCTGGTCTAAGTAAATCAAGAAACTTACTGCTGCATCAGGTCAAACACAACATAGAAACGCTGCATCTCAAATAGTTCAGCAGGGAAATCCCATCTTGGTTCTGGCCTCTGCACATACCTGCTGCAGCATCTCTTTGGTGGCATTCAACTTCTCTCTGTGCTCTTCAAGACAAACCTCCAAATCTCTAATTTCTACCTTGTCTGTTAACACATTTACCTTTATTTAGAGTAAAATACTGCAATAAGTGAAAAAGAATTTGGGTCCCACTGTATATGTTATTTCTCTAAATGGAACAAAAAAAAAGAATGATCCTACCACTCATACAATTGTAAAGAAAAAAAATCTGAGAAATACCAAGAAGACAGTGGTCCTTTGCATGCCTATTTATATGTTGCTTTTTGATTTAAGGAGTCTTACACAATTTTGGAGAAAATTTGTGTAGATTAGGAATGTACAGTACTTTTTGGTTAAAGCCAGTTCAACATTTATGAGAGTGTGCGCACAAATGATCATTTTCGTGGGCAGGGTGGAGATAGTATTTGAAGAGAGGAACTGAAGTTAATGTTTGAAATAGAAATTATCAAGAACTATTCAAATTTGATACTTCAAGAAGAAGAAGGAAAAGAACCCAGGGAATTCAAGTTCCATGAGCTCTTTCAAGGTGACACTGATGTGTTCAAAGCCGGGGCAACTCAATAGACTCAAAGGTCCATGAGGAGCTGTTGGGTTAGTCCTTCAACTCTAGTGCTTATAGCAGATCTTTGAGTTTTTCCTCAATAATCATCACCCCATAAATATAATTGAATTCATTTTGCTGAGTATACCAAAAAAAATATTTGTCAGACATTTAAAACATTATGAAGAAGCAAACTCAAATTTAGCCCACAAGGAGGATTCTATGCACTGTTGTGTTTTGTCTCAGCCATGGTATCATTTTTAAAATAGAAAAATTACATATATCCAGATTTCAGATTCAGAAATATAAACTTACATATACGCAGATTTTATGTTATATTTATATATCTAAATTTCTGATATATATAAAAATATACTTAAAAATCAGATCCAGTCAAGCGTGGTGCTGGACACCTGTAATCCCAGCTACTTAGGAGACTGAGGTAGAAAGATTGCTGGAGCCTAGGAATTCAAGACCAACCTGGGCAATATAACAAGACCCTGCCTCCAAAAAATATATATAGACAGTCAGATCAGATGATACTGTGCCTGTATTCAGATTGGCCCTGGAAGAACTGAGATTGATTAATGGCAGCACCCTCTAAACTGGGTGTACATATCATCATTTTGTCCCAGTTCTCACCACTCTCTATTATGTACACATGGCTTACCATGCTTATTTCTATTAGCAGTCTGGTTGCTATTATAACTGGTTTCTATAAGCAGTCAGGCTGCAAGCAATCTGAATTTGCCACTCCAATTTAAAACAGTCTTTGTAAGTATGCTACAAGGAAAGAACAATATTTTTAAATCACTTGCCTTAAGAATGAGGGATTCTTTATCATTTTCTAAACATGGCAGCCTTTGTTGATACACATCTCCATTCCCAGGTAGGTGTCCATTTCTCTGAAAAAGGAAATAATGCAGGTAAGGCTGATCTTCTCTAAGAATGATATATTGTGGATAAATGAACATCACAAGTGTTCTTAGTCCAAGATGCCTGAATTGAATCTGGGACAGCTGTCACTGTCATACAGAAAATACAAGAATGCAATTTGGTTCATGTATCACAAAAGAGGTAAGACAGGCATGTTAAGCATATAGGCATGATTTTGCCAAACTAAACATTTCTTAACAAGCAGAAAATATTGACTCACAAGGAACAGGGGAAATTGGTATTCTTCACTGAGAGCAGACACACGCCCCGGAGCAGGCAAAGCTTTGTGAGTGGGTAGGCGGCACCCTTGGCTGTCAAAGTCTGTATCTTTTCCTCCAAAAGCTTAAACACTCAGGCCGCAATGACTTCCCTTGGTAGTGCTGACTAGGCTTACTTATCTGCATTTTAACACTCTGTGTCCTGATCTTACTAACTTCCTGTGAATTTACTTTTTCATATAATGTTACCTTCTATTCCAGGGCAGAGCCTATAAACCATTTTGTAACCTCCCCAGCATTTGACTCAGTGCTCTGCATATGTTGATGCTTACTATTTCTTCCCCTCCCTCCTGCCCCTACCCTTTTTTAAAAAAATCATATTTGGGTATATTTATGCATGGTATAAATGCCAAAGGAAGCATAGATTGAGAAACAACATACGGATTTTTTTTCCTCAGCTGTCTCATATGCAAGTCATGAAAAACATCATTTTGAAATATATGTAGTAGTATAAGTGGTGTCTCTCATAATTTCAACTAACCATAAAATATGTAATCCCAATAGAATTCCCTGATTCTTCATTCAAATACAATAGAAATAAAACCCAATTAAAATACAAAAGTGTTAGATGGGGCCACTCAGGGTTCAATTGAAAAGGAAAACAATATCTTCTGATTTAGAACCAGAAAAAATACAAACTGTATAATTTTACTGCCCAATGCACATCTGATGTGACATCTACTGCTTTTCCAGAATTAACTGATACCATTGTTCTATCTTTCCAATAAATGCAGATTCCAGTATCAATTCTTAGAATAACAAACGTCATGTGCTGCGAAAGGGAAGAAAAACAACAGAGCTTGAGTGAAAAGGAAAATTTCAGAATGTTTTTTCTAAAAATTTTAGCGTACTAGATATATTTTCCAAAAAGCAACAAGATTTAGAGGCTAATTTTGTAAGGGTGCAACACATATTTAGAGTGGATTAAAATTTTAAAATCAGCTGCTTCACCACATACTTCCACAATTACCACAGCATAATTCTGTCTATGTTGTTAACTGAAGTGCCCAGCATTAAATTACAAGTATTTTGAAGAGTGTGATAGAGTGGTCTGGACAACTTCCACCCCTGGGGACTAACATGAAAATGAAATGTACACAACTTCTCGAGGGCAGTTTTTTGGAAAAGAGCCAGGGTGCAAAATGCAGGTTCTCAATCTTAAGAAAGTGCCAAGACAGACCCTATACAGCTTTAAATTCCTCATTTTGATTATGGACATTAACAGGCATCTGTTTTTAAAATCCCATACAAGTAATAACATTTTAGAAACAGATACATTTCAGTAAGTAGGAAGAAAACCCCCTGCTGTTTAGAGAGGACAAAAAGCAAAACTGGCCAAATGTGGTGGTACACGCCTGTAATTCCAGCACTTTGGGAGGCTGAGGATTGCTTGAGCCCAGAAGTTTGAGACCAGCATAGGCAACATGGTGAGACCCTGTCTCTTAAACAAACAAACAAACAAACAGCCAAGCATGGTGGTATGTGCCTAGAACTCAGATAATTGTGATCACATATAGGATACAATCTTAAGATGTACTTTGTTTGCCAAGGCCTGAGAAAATATTTCCTGGAGGCTCACATGAAAAGCAAAGCTGGTCAGAAAGCAGCAAGGATCAGAGGGTGGTAGGATAGGAACTGCATCGTGTGGCCAGGAAACAGGGACTCATGGAGAACAGCCAGCAGCCCTGAGGAGAAAGCCCTGAGGAGAGGGCTTAGAAGAGAGAACTCTTCTAAGTTATGAGTATTTTTATTTTTACAGCAACTTTAAAAAATATAAATTTGGGATTAATATTTTCTAACGTTTGATGTAAAAATAAGAGGGAATGTATTATGATGATTTAACTGGTCAGAAGCCAATCTAGAACACCTCATTTTCCTTGTTTACACTTTACCTTTCTCATGGGTGATGATGCCTGCTTTGGAGTTATTACCATTAGTATTCACTGTTAGTATTTCACTCACTGTTGAAAATCGTATTTTTGTAATTTCTGCTGACTTTGAGACGACCTCATAATTAAAACTGACAAATAGACACCTTTGGGATTTCAATACCTGATCCCCTGCTGACATGGATCAAGGTCATGATCCTCAGTTTAAAAAAACATTATAAGAATGTTCTAGGGCAACTCATGAAGTTAGACCCAAAGAAAACAACTACTTGCTTGACTCAAGAAATTAGATATATTTTTCCATTTGCCTTTTTAAATCTAGAGCTTCAAAAAGCAAGTAATCCTCCGTTATTAATATCTGTGTTAACACATTATAGTATTTCACAATCAAAACAGAAAATTCAGCCTTAATTTAATTAAATAAGTATGTCATAGTCTACAGTTTTTTTTTAAGCACAGGAGACACACTTCTGAATTTTAAAAGGTTTTTCATTTCCAGAAGCCTACAGCTATGCCAGTAAATTCATTTTTTTAATTATTATTATACTTTAAGTTCTGGGATACATGTGCAGATCATGCAGGTTTGTTACATAAGTATACATGTGTCATGGTGGTTTGCTGCATCCATCTACCTGTCATCTACATTAGGTGTTTCTCCTACTGTTATCCCTCCCCAATCCCCCAACCCCTGCTATTCCTCCCTTACCAGCCCCCCATGCTCCCAGCAGGCCCCAGTGTGTGATATTCCCCTCCCTCTGTCCATGTATTCTCATTGTTCAACACCCACTTAGGAGTGAGAACATGCAGTGTTTGGTTTTCTGTTCTTGTGTCAGTTTGCTGAGAATGATGGTTTCCAGCTTCATCCATGTCCCTTCATCCAAGGACATGAACCCACCCTTTTATGGCTGAATAGTATTCCATGGTGTATCTGTGCCACATTTTGTTTATACAGGCTATCATTGATAGGCATTTGGGTTGGTTCCAAGTCTTTGCTATTGTAAACAGTGCTGCAATAAACATACATGTGCATGTGTCTTTATAATTTAATGTTTTATAATCCCTTGGGTATATATCCAGTAATGGTATTGCTGGATCAAAAGGTATTTCTAGTTCTGTATCCTTGAGGAATCACCACACTGTCTTCCACAATGGTTGAACTAATTTACACTCCCACCGACAATGTAAAAGCATTCCTATTTCTCCACATCCTCTTTAGTATCTGTTGTCTCCTGATTTTTTTTTTTTTTTTTGAGACGGAGTTTCGCTCTTGTTACCCAGGCTGGAGTGCAATGGCGCGATCTCGGCTCACCGCAACCTCCGCCTCCTGGGTTCAGGCAATTCTCCTGCCTCAGCCTCCTGAGTAGCTGGGATTACAGGCACGCACAACCATGCCCAGCTAATTTTTTGTATTTTTAGTAGAGACGGGGTTTCAACATGTTGACCAGGATGGTCTCGATCTCTTGACCTCGTGATCCACCCACCTCGGCCTCCCAAAGTGCTGGGATTACAGGCTTCAGCCACCACGCCCGGCCTAGGAGATCTTAAGAACATGTGCCCAAGGTGGTCAGGCCACAACTTGCTTTTGTACATTTTAGGAAGACATCAGGCATCAATCAATACATGTAAGATTGATGTGTTGATGTGTCTACATTGGTTCAGTCTGGAAAGGTGGCACAAGTGGGGCGGTTAGCTCCAGATCATAGGTAGAGTCAGCGAATTTCTGACTGGCAATTGGTTGAAAGAGTTGTTATTATATAAATACTTAGAATCAATAAAAAGGAATGTCTGGGTTAAGATGAAGGGTTGTGGAGACTCAGGTTTTATCATGCAAATGAAGCATCCAGGTAGGATGCTTCAGAAAATAGTTTGTTAATTTTTCTTATCAGACTTAAAAAGAGTCTGTTTTAACGGTAATTCCAAAAAGGAGGAGGGAAAAATGAGTCATGTCTGGCTCCTCCTTCCCATTATGGCCTGAACTAGTTTTTCGGGTTAACTTTGGAGTGCCCTTGGCTAAGAGGAGAGGTCCATTAAGGTGGCTGGAATTTAATTTTGGCTTACACTTACCATGGTGATCATGAAATAAATAATAAATAACTGTTTATACCCATCAAAACAAAAATATTCCTTAGTCACTACCAAACATGCTTTGGAGTACTGCATAGGAAAGAATGGAATATTAATGAATTTGTTTGACTCTGACTCTTTCACGTCTTATAATATCAACTTAGATTTTGTTTTCATTTCAATAAGAGTTCTGAAAATCGATAACTTTCAGGAGAGAAATATGAGGGAGGCAGAGAAGCAGGTGAGAGGAAATGTGTTTACTCTCTGGAGAGAGTACTTTTGTCAATTCAGATATTGGAATTCATGTGTAATACCCTGGGCTTCTTTTCTTCAGAGAGGTCAAATGCCAGAACCATCAGGTCACTAGATGGAAGCTGGAAGGTATGGGCTCCTTTCTTGGCTATGCAGCTCCTTGGGAGTTTCTGTTTTGCTCTAGGGTTTTCTCCAACAGAAAGCCAGGCATGGCAACCAGGAAGAGTCTAACTGCAGCTTATGAAGAGGTTTTGATCTTCAGCACTGAAATTATTTAGATCCAAGAGAACCTCTCAAGCCACCTAATTTCTTCTAGAGAGATGGGGCCCCAGGCCTTCCTCTGCTCAGGTACAATCAATAGCTCATGCTATTCTACCCCACTACAGGCTTAAAGAGCTATAAATTATGATGATGATAATGATGGTGATTGATAATATATATTAACTAACCAACCCTAAATTCTGTTTTCTGAAAGGATAAGCTGTT